GTGTTTCACTCTTGCCCCCTTGATGAAAGATCCTGAACCATACCTCTCCGGGCTCGCTAAGGTCGAGAAAAATAAAGGCCCATTCTGGAAAGAAATGGAGATTTATGACATGGGTCAATTGTCAAAATTTGGTCTAGGCTATAGACAAAGTATGTTAGTAGCTTCATTATACTTCTGAGACGCTTCTCACAAAATCTTCAATTACCCTTGTGGAATGATGACCCCCACTCTTTTTGATATTGCTGCAATAATTAGCCTTCGACCCACTAGAGAAACTTTCGACCTATTTGAGATGGACGGTGACGCTATCAACTTCACAGGAAACAAAGCCACATTCACCCATTATATAGTTGATCATCATGACAAAACAATTGAGGGGGTCTCTAACGAAGAACATATTGCCTTTTTGGCGGTATGGCTATCACGCTATGTCTTTTGTTTGAGCTCTCTTCAAGTAGCAAAAATAATTCTCACCATGGATAACCAACTATATGTTGGAAACAAGTTGTGCCTGAGCCAAATATCCTTGGGTTTTCTATATGAGTCTTTAGAAGTATCCGTCAAAATCCTAAAGACTTACAAGTTAGGGGCAAACATTCTATTTGCTGGCTAATATTGGCTACTCCAATTATGGTTAAATGCCACCTTCGAGCCTTCACTCCCAACATGAAACATAATCAACAAAGAGGATGAGAGGATAAAGAACAGGAGGGTTGAAGGGACAATACTGGTCCAATTAACTTATCTCTCCTTGTCGTGATTCTTAATTTCTGATTGTCCCCTCAAATTTCTTCCTTTCTTGTTTCGTAGGTGATGGCGGCAGATGGAAGTGTAGCGGCAGTGTGGCGAAGAACCTTAGGGTTTCAGATGTTGAAGCCCTAAACTTCTCTTCTTCTTCTTTCTACCTCCCAAATTTTCTCTTCGTAAAATTGTTCGTCCAAATTTCTCCTCCTCCCTAGGTCTTTGATTATAGTGTTTATATAATGTAGATTAGAGAACAAATTAGGAAGTTTTTATTGGATTGCTGTTACAAATTATTGATTGAAGGTTGATTAGGAATTTTTTAGATCAGTAATTGATTTGAATTGTGTAATTTTTTTGGACAATTGTATTGTAATGGAAAGAATTTGAATTGATTAGATTGTATTTGATTTAATTGTAATTTTATTCGATTGTGTCTTTTTTAGAAAGATTTGATTTTGATTTCAAAAAGTGTGTTTTTCTTTCTAGATCTTTACACTTATTGTTCTTTTGGATTTTGGACTTGTTGAAGAACAGGGTCGCTGGCTGAAACTTGTTAGGGTTTCAAAACCCCTTTTTCTTTAATTTTGACTTTTATTCAACACGTATCAAAAAGGAAAATATCTGATGATTTTTTTATAAAATAAATAATTTGATAAACACAATTTTATGTTAATAATAATAATAATAATAATAATAATAACAATAATAATAATAATAATAATACGACAATACTAGTTATAATAATGTAAATGTAATTAACAATAATTAAAATAAATAATACTATTTATTATATTAATAATAATTTATACTAATAATAAAAACCAGCTTGACTTTGGCAAAAATCATGGGCCTCTAAAAGAATGGGCTCTCTGCAAAAATATAAAACCCCCTTTCTTCCTATTTATCAAGTTGAACAACAATTTTTAATGGGCCTTAACCTTAATGGGCTTCTGATTAGAAAAAAAAAACCCTTATACTTAGCAATACATCCCTCTTTCTATTTATTCATTAAATTCTAAATGGGCTAAAATATATCCAACAAATACACCTCCCTTCTTAATTGTAAGAACCAATTTAATGGGCCATCAGACTTTGATGGGCCATCTTGAAATAATACACCCCTTTATAAACTTAAACCCTATAATAATTTGACAATAATCTAAACCTTTATAAATGTGATAACTTTAACAGGGGATAAATTGTTAGAAATCTATATGGAAAATTTGAGGTATGACACTTCTAGAGATTTGTCGAATCTCGACGTAACTGCCCCAAATTGACTGAATGTTACATCCTCTTTGCTTAACAACTTCTTCTCGGAAACATGCCCTTTGTTGATATTCAAATGTAAACTTCCTTGATTTCAAGCATTTGTTTTACAAGCAGAAAATGTATATTCTGAGAATGAAAATTCTAGTGCAACAATTATGTAAGTCTTGAAGATTTTATTAAAAAAAGGTCACCAAATATCTTTGGCTGACGACGTACCAAGAACATTTGCAAGAACATTCTTAGTCAAAGACATGCAGATTATACTCGAAGCTCTCAAATCTAGTTCCTCCCACTTCTCGTTGTTCATTTTGGAAATGTTTCCTTTCAACGCCTCGTGTGATCCTAATTGTATCAAAACATCTTGAACTTGAATTTTTCACAAGCCCAAATTGATTCTTCCATCAAATTTCTCTAAACCAATCGTCACTGCACTTGAAAACACTTGACATTGCAACCAAAGCCTTTCCTGCAACAAACCAAAATTTTACCAACCAACACAAAGTATAAAATTTCTTTTCTTATGTGGAAGATCAGACAAAACATCAATCACAAAGCATACTAAAATTTATACCCACCAAACTAAGGCTCTTGATACCATTTGTTGGGGAGTCCGGGGAAGTCGGGAGCACAAATGGAACCATTGCTCCAGGACCACAAGAGAGGGAGACATCATATCTCAACCCAAAACCTTAAGGTGTTAGGTAAATGGATCTTCTCTCGTATAAATCCATAAGTCCAAAAAAAATCTTAAAGTGTTTTTTACTAGCGCATCTTGTAAAGAAAAACTTGAATCCTATATATATCATTGGGCTCCCTCTTCCTTTACAAAAATAAGCGACATGGAACTTCTTCAACATGTATATTTTCAACTAACCCCAACAAAATAGTAGGAATCAAAGTTGATTCCCACAAATGGCGCTATTGTTCTGTTGTGGAATAAAAAATATATGTAGTTGGTGAATTGCTCATCTTAAACGGTGACTATAATCTTCTTTACGGCAGCGTGGGTTGGATCTGCATGGTTAATCCTCCAACGCCTAAGTCAGTTCAAGATTCAAGATGAGTATAGTGAAAATAGAGATCAGAGATTGTACCTTATTCTTAGCGTGTGAGCTAATTTTATACTTTTGGTCAAGTGAAATAAATTTGAGATAGATTAAGTCTTGGTCAATTGGGTCTTTGGTCGGTTCAAAATACATTAAAAACAACTTTAAAAGGTCAACACTCATAAAATTCATAAATTGGTTTGATTATGGAAAATATCAAGCATTACATGTTGCATATTCCATGATCACATGTCTTGGCAGTGTGCTCGCATTGTAATTATAATTACTACACAATTGTGTGAAATATGTAAAAACGAAAAACTACTCGATGTATATAAAGATCAATTCATGATTGTGTATTAGCCTTCATATAGTCTATCACAATAAGTGAATGAATAGAAATCCTTATAGTCGTCTAAAATCTAATCATATTCATATTGAAATGAATTTAAGAGAGAAGAGTCAATAAAAAAGATGTACGTTGTGTCGAAACTATGGGACATAACAAAAGAAATTATCTACGCCTAGCAACAACAACAGAACCAGTATAAAATAAGACCAAAAATTAATGTTATATGTATACCTTAACAAATGAGTATGAAGAAAATCTTGAAAAAGAATTTGAATTAACGTAGCAACAACAATAAAATCAGTTTCGAAAATTTATTGTATGAATATTTGATGTTGATTTATGTTGAAGATGAGAGATTTGAGAGTGTTTTTTGATTTAAAAAGATAAGGGATTTTGTTGAAGAGAAAGAAAGAATTTTAAAAATGAAAGTTATTGGTTTCTGGAATATGGGGGAGAAGTTGAAGCGGTGGAATATACAGGAAGGTTGTTGGGTGAAATTCACACCGCAATATTTAATGTCGTTGGGAATTGCGGCGTGATTTTTATCCCGCAACGTATGTGTCAGAAAAAAGTGTTGAGGCATGAATTTCACCCAGTAAAGTCTGAACAAATCAGAACGGTCACCTGTCCTACTGACGACTCATTAATTTTCCCATTTTTCTTAAAATCATTGCGGCGTGTTTTTTATTTCGCAATTTACTTTTCAAAAATTTTAAATTTCCCACCATCAATTGCGAGATGAAAAAGCGATATAATTTTTCAAATTTTTTTTTGTGTTGCAGGGTGAATAACACCCAGCAAATACATTATTTTGCGGGTGATTAACACTCAGCATATTCACCCCGCAACTTTAATGTTTTCTTGTAGTGTACACACCTAAAACATTAGTTTGTTCGGTTAATTACTATTGTTATTAGCTTAAATGATTCTAAAATAATACAAAATATTTTAAATTTTAAATTTCCCACTATCAATTGCGAGATGAAAAGACGATATAATTTTTTTTTAAAATTTCGTGTCACGGAGTGAATAACACCCAACAAATATATTATTTTGCGGGATGATTAACAGTGAGCATATTCACCCCACAACTTTAATGTTTTCTTGTAGTGTACACACCTAAAAAATAAGTATGTTCGCTTAATTAATATTGTTATTAGCTTAATTGATTCTAAAATAATTAAAAAATGTTTTAACTTTTAAAATGAATATTTAAATACAAAATATTAATATTTGATAAAAATAAATGATAAAATATTAAAAGAGGTAGTTGTGGAGTATATAATTGGAAAAGGGGAATAAATGTGTTAATGATCTTTCTAAGGAACATATACAATATAAAAATTATTTAATTGGTGTACATTTACCCACAATTTTCTATGGATAACTTAAAAAAACCAAAATAATAACAAACCTTGCTATAGCATAACCATTTCCAAAGCTTGAAAAGATAACAAGACAATTTAATATCATCTTTAAATAGTAACTTATTTGTGCGTGCAAACAATCTAGCAATCAATCCATATATAAATAACAAAAAACTCGCTTAGGCTTAACAATTTTCGAAGCTTGAAATGAAAAAAATAATGAAACTTCAAACCCTAATTATTCAAATAGTTCTTCTAATGACTTTTGCTGCTGCATGGAAACAATCTCCACCATATGGTTATACTTATAGCCCCCTTATAGACATCAACGAATACGTCATGGAAATCGCCGATTTCGCCGTCGTTGAGTATAACAAAGTAAGTGGTACGAAGCTGACCTTAAATAAGGTCTTCACGGGTGAATCATCACAGGTTAACGAAGGGATCAACTACCGCCTCACCCTCTCTGTCTTGGGCGAATATTTCGTTTCTAACATCTATGAAGCTGTTGTGTGGGAGAGTCCGTTGTTTCCTTTTCGAATTCTTATTTCCTTTATAAAAAATTAACATCACATATGATTTTATAAACAATCGATCATAATTTTTTATTAATTAAAATTAAAATTTATCTCTCTTATTTTAATATAACATAGTGAATATCACGTATGATTTTTTTAAATCAATCATAATTTTTTATTAATTAAAAATAAAATTTATCTCTCCTATTTTATCACAACATTGCGGTCATCTTATTGTATTATTCCATATTAATGTAATGGATTGTATTGTCTTATTATTATTGTTGTTATTTTGTAAATTAGATGATTAAGGGAGTGATATACTTTCATCAAAATCTTGGTTTTATTGCAGGTTACAATATCTACTTTTGATTTGTTAATCAAAGGTTTATAATACTTACTTTGACTTGTTAACTTTAGAGGAGTGGATATATTGCAAACTATTGTTAATAAACTTTTTTTTTTCCTTTTTCGTATTCATTTTTGCATTTATGTTTGACTGCATCAATTTGCTTGCCCGTAATTTTTTTCTCTCCATTTATGTACGTATAAGGGTACGTGTACACACAAGTAACATAAGTGATTAATTTTAATTAAAAAAAAACTATTTCTCTCTTCTTTTTTTTTTATACATCTTTTCTTAGACACATAAAGATGTCTTGAAACAATATTGATTAAGAAAAATAAAAACTACTAAATTTGATCACAACAATTTAACATTTTTTAATTTTTTATAGTAGATAGATAATTAAAGGTTAAATAGTAAATAATATCTTGTTTGTTTTAGGTGGAAATTGGATTAAAATTGAGTACAAGGTATTCCTTCCATAGTAGAAGAGAACAAACTAGCAAAAATTTGAATATAAAATTACAAGATAAACAATTACCCGGATTATAAAGTCAATCCGACCAAAGATGAGGAATATGACTTTTGAATTTAACTTGGTATCTAATGTTGATCCCTTTTACAATATTCATCCAAAATCCCTTCTTTAAACTAAATGTTATTTTTAGAGTTGAAAATATAAAAATATAAGAGAATCTCTTAATTACACTCTTACACTCTTATGTTTGTGAAGTAGATTTTTGAATATTTTAAAATAACTTTCGGAGATACATCTTTGAACGCACTCTAAATTAATTTTTAAAGTATTTCATAAATGCATCTCATTTGAATGTTGTATTTAAATATTTAGTGATATTTTCAGATATGCATAAGGAAAACAATTATTTCAGAGTTGATTGTGCATAAAGAACTTTACACACGACTATATGGAAAAAACTTATCTCCGAAAACACCATTTGATAAAATTTATGATGCTTTTGTTTCATGTGTTAGCAACTACGCATCAGTTGCAAAGTGGACGCGTTAGCGGTCACACAACTATACGATTCAATAGATATGTATCTATTCAACATTTTATCGTGTTTACTTTTATCGATTTAATTTTTTTTCATGTTTCTATGATATTGATTCTGTTTATTTTTTATTCTGCATAATTCAGATATGCATATCCGAAAAATATTTATTTTTAAATTAAAAAACAGCAGAGTTATTTCGGATATGCAGATCCGAAAATCCCATATTTTCGTAAAAAAGGTGAATTCAGAGATTAATACTCGAAACATGTCCTGGTTGGTGGTAGGATAAGAATTCTTGAGTTTAAATTACTCCAAATCTTCTATAAATAGGGTCACCACACCATTTCTTCAACATCACACACCAAAAACAGAGATGAGTCAAATATATCCTCACCTTGCTTTTGTTTACTTCAGTGGTAAAAAGTCGACACTTCAATTTACCATACTGAATTATCTCTTGCAATATCTAGAAAATTGAAAAGTAGTCAAACTCGAGTATCGTTCACCCTCACTTGACACTGAAGGAAAGATAAAGTCCAACCATTTTGCACTGAAGATGGATGAAGATTTAAAGGTTATGTGGATTACTTTCACCAATACTCTACTAAGGGTCCGATTGAAGTGGATGCAAAGTTTCAAAGATCGGGATAAAATGTTATCAAAATGTTGCAACGTCCTCATCTACCTGTTTATAACAATATGTAATGTTAAATTTATATTCCACTATCTATGTAATTTTGACTATCTATGTTAAATCTATGTTAAGTTGCTTTGGTTTTAAGGTTTTTGACTTTGCTTGGAAGTTAGTGGTTATTTCAGATATGTAATGTTAAATTTCTATTCCACTATCTATGTAAGTTCGACTATCTATGTTAAATATATGTTAAGTTACTTTGATTTTAAGGTTTTTGATTATGTTTGGAAGTTAGTGTTTATTTCGGATATGTGTGTCTGAAATCTATTATTTGGTGGCTTCAGATATGCATCTCCGAACCTATCCAATAAAAAACAGCAATGTGATGAGTTCGAACATACATATCCAAATTAAGAGGGTATTACAGGAATTTCGCCAAGGACCTCTAAGAAAGCATAAGAATGCATTAAGAAATTCTCAAATATAAATATTTGGATTGAATGACTGATCCATAGCTCTCCTATAAAGGATGGTTTAAATTCCTATCTTGAAAACCTTTGGACGCTAAAGTACTTTGGGTTAGGAACCTAATTTATCAAGAGAGCCACGAGTGAAATATTTCTCTCATTAATGAGTTATTCCTTCTCTATGACAGAGACATAATTCTCCAAATTTCCTTAGATGATCAAGACAAAGAGGATACTATAATGTGAATTCATAATAAAGGAGGTAATTATACGGTTAGAACTGACTATCGTTACTTCTATAACATGGCCTACATATCCACGCCTAGCTGCTTTAATTCTGTTGAGGAGGAGCTTACTTGGAGGAAGTTGTGGAGTGTCAATACTCTTCCTGGGATAAAAATATTGTGTTGGCGTCTTTTAAAATAACGATATTCCGGTTAGAATGAAGTTGAGTAAAAGAGGGATTAGTTTCCCTCTCTAATACCCTATGCGCTTGAATAAGGGTAAGACTATTGACCATATATTGAAAGACTATGAATGGGGTAGGAAAGTTTGATTTGGTTCCTATCAAAACTTAAACTTCAATAATCATGATTGCCATATTAAAGAGTGGATATGGAACACTATAAAATACAGGAAGAAAGAAATGATTAAGGAGGTTATGGTTATGTTGTACAGTATATGGAGGGATTAGAAATAAGAGTGTCTTTGAATACAACGATATCTCTAACTAGACAATATTCAGTACACGGAGATTATAGGAATCTGTCTAATAGTAGTAGCTTCAATAGCCATAATCAGAAACACCATAACACAACGGATAACAATCAGAAAAAACCTACTAACAACAACCATACCTTGGATAACAATCCTCCCGGAATTAAAACTCAGGTTCTGAATCAAAAGCCCAACTAGATGTACTATAATATTATGAGGAAGATCTTGTACCATAAGAAAGATAGAAGCAACAAGTAAATGTGTGACTTTACTACTAACCAGCAGAACCAGGACAATAATCTCAGGTTGAAGAAGACTGAAAATCAAAACCATGTTGACAATAACAAGAAGGTCAGTAATCAGAATAATATTCAAAACCATAAGGAGATAGATGAGATAAGGTTTTAAGTTGAGTCTCCCGGGTGAGATTTTAATCGAGTCACTTAGGCAAGACTTCAAGTTGAGCCTGCCTAGTGGAACTTTAAGTCCCTCAGGTGAGGCGTTTATCCGAGATTTTCTAATAAGACTCTAAGTCTCTCGGGTGAAGTATTTAGATGAGTTTGTCTAATGAGACTCTAAATCTCTCAGGTGAGGCATTTAGATATGCATGACTGATGAGACTCTAAGTCCCACAGTCGAGGCGTTTGAAGTTGATCTCTCAAGTAAGACTTTGGTTGAGTCACTTAGGCAAGTCTATAAGTTAAGTTTATCAGGCGAGACATTTAGATGAGATTGTTTAATAAGACTCTAAGTCACTCAGGTGAGGCATTTAGATGAGTCTGTTTGATGAGACTCTAAGTCTCTCAGGTGAAGCGTTTAGATAAGCCTATCTGTTGAGACTCTGAGTACCTCAGCCGAGGTGTTTAGAGTTGACTCTCTTGGATAAGACTTCGGTCGAGTCCCTTAGAAAAGTCTTTAAGTTAAGTTTCTTAGATGAGACTTCAATCGAGACCCTTATGCAAGACTTCAAGTTGAGTATGTCTAGTGGGACTCTAAGTCCCTCAGTCGAGGCATTTAGATGAGACTATTTGATGAGAATTTAAGTCCCTTAGGTGAGACATTTAGATGAGATGGTCTCCCGCATATAACCTATTTGTATTTCCCTTAAGGATGGAAAGGATCTTCCAGTGGAAGTCCATCATACTCGTATTGTCTTGAGAAACTGCAAGGATATTCTTGTGGAAGTCTAGCGTATTCTTAGTACCTTTAGAGGAGGAAATGATCTTTCTATATAAGTGCAACGTATTTTATTGCCTTAAAAGTGACAAGGATCTTCTTGTGAAAGTCTAGCACGCATAACACTAAAACTGAAATATTATTCTTGCTAAAAAATACTTAAGAGTTCATACATAGGTAGGAAATAAACCATCTCTAAAAATTATTTAATAGCTTAATTATAATAATATTTTAAACAAATGGAATTCCAAGTACCGGGGATAAGTCTCCCATCCAATTATTTTAGCTTATATGCTCCATGTGGCAGCTTCTAGAATATGTGATATGGTCCTTCTTAATTTTGTTGCAAATTTCTCTACTGCACAAGAAGAACCACTTGTCTCAATACCAAGTCTTATCCTGCATTTCTCTTATCATAACCTTGGATTTGCATCTTTCGAATTATCTTTGCTTGGCAGTGAACTCCCAAAAGTGGGCAACATCTTTTACTTTATTGATTAAATCAGCGGTGCATCTTAACCCTGAATCATTCACTTCCTGATTGAACTGAGAACGACGCCATGAGAGCATATAGATATCTTCAAGTAAGATAGAACATTCCTTGTATACCATAGTGAATGGAGTTTCCTTGGTGGTTGAGCGGGGAGTGAGGGATTTATTATGATTTTACAAGAGTGTATTATCTCTTGAGTA